CAATACATCCTGTCTGCTTAGGGAACTTAACTTTTTTTTTCCTTCTTCTATGGGACTTCTAGATGGATTCAAAGGCAGGGATCATCAGTTATTTAAAAAACTAAATTCTGTATTTAATGGTTTCATCCTCCTGAATACTCTTCTTTTTAAGTAGACCCAAGTAATTTTTTTCCTTATTATCTTTTAAAGTTAGTTTTTAAAATAATGGAGCTACCTACAGTCTGTCTGTCAGCTGTTGTTTGCTGTTGGAACAACTTGCAGAATTCTACTAATGCAGTTTATTTGATTGTCAACTATTTTAAAACTGTATTCTACTCTACATGTCTGCTCTAGATACGTTAAAACAGTTACCATTAACACCCCAGTCAATAAAACATCTAAGTCTATATTAAATAATTCTTTTCTTCATGCTTTTACCTAAAAATATAGTTGAGTCTTAAACAAACATTGCAGAGATGCAACTGAGAATATCATTTTAAGGAAATAACTGAAGTATAGCAATGTTGCTAACTGTGGGCTGATCTATAAATCACTGGTACAATTCTATTTAAAACAAAACAAGGAAAAAACTTCACAGAGCACCTGGACACAGTCCTGAGCAACCTGCATGGTGTGACCAGTTAGAGGGGAAGGAGGGAGTTGGACATGGTGATTGCCAAAGGTCCCTTGTAACCTCAACCAGCCACTTGGTTGTCCTGTGAGCTACAGCATAGAATAGCACGATGCTGTGTGCTGACAGGTGTAGTTTCTGATGCATTATACTATCATTACCTATGCCTCTTTAATAAATTTATGTTCATGTTAAGTTTTGCTCTGCAGTTAACAGACTGCAGATGCAGTAGCTGTTGTTATTCTGTATTTCATTTGTGTTTTCTATAGGTAGATATAATATTTGATGAAGATGCAGGATTTCTAAGTGCAATAAAGACATTCATGGCAACTGCAAAGAGACCTGTAATTCTTACTACCAGTGGTGAGTAGGGCTTTTTCCTGTAATTAGACTCTGCAGACAGAAAAGCCTATTTGAATAATAGTAATTTAAATGGGAATGGTTGAATACAGCTCATAAATGTAAAACTTAAGGTGTAGAAACTACAAAGAGACCCTTTGAGTACTTAAGTAAAGAAAACAATCTGTTTTGAGCAGAATGGCACTACAGTTCACCAATATCTCTTTATATAGATCCAACGTTTAGCTTAATGTTCGATGGCTATTTTGAAGAAATCAACTTCAGAACTCCTTCCTTGGTAAGTCTATGCTTGGAAATGCAGATTATGTCCTAAGCAAGTATTTTTCAGCTGATTTAAAGGTTACTGTAAGTTTATAACTGTCTGATGGAATGTATCTATATTAACAGACAACTCCTATTTTAGTTTTATGCAAGAGTGTGTAGGATGTCTTTATCTTTACATGTAGAACTTAATATTAGCCTGGAGGAATTATTTTCATAACTATTTAGTATTTGAGATCACTTGATCACTTTAGTCCTTAAGGCATAGTAAATAATTCTGTAGGAGACATATCTAATAGTCCTGACCTGAAGACTGACCATGCTAGTATTTGATCATTCACAAAAGATAAAGCAACTCCTCTAGAAATTGTATGGGTTATTCCTTTAATCTTTGGTGTTCTGTATAGCAAATAGTTTTACTTGCAGTTGTGTATCATATTATTAAAAAAAAAAGGGAGACTTTCTTAATGTAAAAATGAAAATCCTTTAGGATATCAGAAAACGCAGATTAGAAAGAACAACTTCTAACTAAGACCTCTAATAAGAAACAAGGTGTACATATCTTTAGGAATGTAGGCAGAACACGTGTGCTTACTTTAAGTTGAATTTCTACACTAAACTTAATTATCTGATGTGGACTGTTTGGATTTGGTACAGAACTCTGCTGAGGTTTTGATGCAACTTAATGAAAGTATTCTATATTAAATAGAAAAAATGTATTGCAAGGTTTTTTTGCTTCTGTGTGACGTTGCAGTCTTAACTGGCAGAGTTGTTCTCAGTGGTTTTTGTTTAACTTACAGATGAATGCTGCTAGCTATCTGCAAGTGCTGTGTTTGGCTGAGAACCTACGAACAGATGTAAAAGACTTAGCTGCTTTGTTAACCACAAATAACTGTGATATCAGACAAAGTGTTCTCTACTTACAATTCTGGGTTAAAAGTGGAGGTGGATACTTGAAAGACAAACATTTGGTGCTTCATGGTAGGTTGATTTTTAATTTAAAAAAAAATTGTTCTATCTTAAGATGACTGATTAGATAAAACCATTCATAACAATGGATGAATACAAGCTAACATTCTGTAAGATTTGTAAAGATTTGGTGGGTATTTTGTGGTTTTGGGGTTTTTTCTCATTGTTGTTAATGTGTTCTCTTGTACTTCAAAACCTGATATAAAAAAAAAAACTATATATTTATATATGAATAAGGGATATTTATCTTTGGAATAGCAAAACTGCACAGAGCAGAGAGCCAGTAGTTGTCTCCATTCAGCTCAGAGTTTGCAGTTCTTTATCCATTAGTGGAGTTAGAGGTAACTCACCTAGAAGACAGAGAACTGAAAAAGGAGAAAAATTGGATAACTAGCAAGGGAGCAGCCAAAGGATACAGGAGGAGTATCCTCAGTGTGAGTGTTACACAGATGCATATAATAATTTCTAATGGCGACTTGCAAAGAAGGGAGAGTTTTGAGAATTAAGGAAAGGAAATGGGCAAGATTGATGGGGCAATTTCAGTTTCTGTATGCATTCAGAACTGCAGCAGTAACTGCAATATTCTTGGTAAAAGGAATTAAGACAAACTGGAAGGGGGAAAAAAAACAGTTTATGACGTAGCTTTTTTCAAGTGATGTACCTTGTCTTTGTGCAGGAGAAGATGAAACAAATCCAGCTGATCAAGCAATTAATTCTGAAAAGACTACAGATCCCAAGTTTGATTTTTCTCATGATGCCCCACCTCAGGAATTTCCAAAATGTGATACAGGCTGTGTAGAGACATTGCTTGGCCTTAAGAATATCCTGTTGCCATCAGAAGATTTGTTCACATTTCTTAAGGTATTTTTCTAGTTGACTAGCTAATACCTTGATAATTGCTAGATGTTTCAGTGTAATTGTCACTATGAATATTATCTTAGAAGGAAATCTTTTTCAAAAGGTTTGTTGTCCAAGTTAATATTCTCTAGTAATTAAGCAAAATGCAAACTGAAGCAGTTGGCAGAAAACCTAGTCCTTTGCCTCGTAACTAAAGCTGGGAATGAGGTTTTCTGTAATATTTTTTGCATTAAAATACTTTTTAATATATGTATTAAAATACTTTTCCACAACTATTATTTTACAGCAGAAGATCACAACCAAGGAGAACTGGGATAAATTGATACAGCTTCTCACAGAATTCCAGCTGAAGAAAGTGGATTTTATATATAGTAATCTTGAACTACTTCTCCCTTTACCAGTGAATTACCTTTCAAATCAGACTGAAGCATCTAACCCTATACCTGAAAGGACTACCATCATTTCTTCAAAAAACAGTTCCATTAACAGTTACTGTTATGGGATAAGTAACTCTGGGAAAAAATCTAAAAAGACAAAGAACAAGAAAAGACTTGAAGAATTGGATGATAGTGACTTATTTGATACTGGACTGAACTATTCAGCTGAATTCATAACTTTGCCATCAGATAGTCCTCCACGATGTGCTGAAGTGAATGAAGAGGAATCAAAATTGAATAACAAAAAAGGAAAAGAAACAAAAAGCAAAACCCCATCAAATGACAGAAAGTCTGCTGTTGTTGTTCAGTGTCTGAATTCTCTGACTGAATTTGTGGAGGACATGTCTTTTTTGGATTGCTGTGTAAACAGTACTGCAAAGGAGCCACTAGAGTTCTCTAAAGATGAAGGATTCAGCTGGATGAATGGCAAAATCAAAAATGGTCTGTGTGATGAATTCAGTATTGAAAATACTGATTGGTGGAGCTCTCAGAGCTGCAGTGAAATAAAAGCAGCTATTGAAGCGCTTAGTTTTAACAAATGTTCTGTTAGTATTTCTCAAAACTTGGAAGCCTCCTTGATCACAAGTAATACACCTGAAAGTGATCAACTTGAGGGACTGACTTTGCATATGTCAGACACAAGAAATTCTGTATCTTTCAATCAGTCAGCTGATATAAGGTAAGGCTTTGCTAATATTTCCAGAGTTATTTGTCCAGAAGGGCATTTCTCAGTGTGTAGGACTGCAGATAGCCAATATGAATGTTTTCAGTAGGCCTGAGAACACTGGAATAAGTCGTTAACTTTGCTTAAATAAACTCAAATTAACTGCTTAGCAGCTGCTGCCAAAAAATAATGCTTGAATACCCTGACCATAAAATTCAGGAATGGTAGCCTTAATCTGGTTTATATACTTTAAGTCAATTCATATGCTGTTAATCCAATAAGAAAAACAAGAAGTTAAAGGAATTTAAAGGCTTTTTTCAAGACAGTCAGTTGGACTGAAAAGGTACCAGAAATGCAATTTTTTTCATCTAGTGCCTGGTTATATTGAGTCTGTATTAGGTGCTACAGTGTAGGTGCTAGCTGGTGAAGATAAATGTAATTCAGAGCAGAGGTACTGCATTTCTGTAAATCAAAATTAGACGTATCTAACCTGTGACCATGTGTGGCCAATGTATATCCAGAATGGCAGTTACCTGATTCTTCTATTTTTTGAAGACCACAGATGCTTTTGGTTGTCTGATGGATGTACTCAACCTCACATACTTGACTAGATTGTGAAGACCTCCCCAGACTAGATTCTGTATTTCAGCTAAGAAAAATGGGAAAACAATCTTCAGCCCCTCATGTTTTTAAAGGGTATCTCTGTGATGCTGTGTAAGTAGTGTATGATCAGAAGTTGCAGGTGTCCATTGAAAGCAGTTATGGAAATCAGTATCTCCTTAGCAGTTTTAAGCAAGTAGGTTTGATCTTAAAGTAGCAAATACATTCTTGAACAAGAAACTATAAAGCTTCATTCTTTATTTTAGCATCCACAAAAAAGCACAGAAGAGGCTGGCAGTCATCAGAACTGTATTTTCCAGAACTCCTTTGAACCTTGGAAATAAGCAAGCCAGCATACTTGAGTATCTCCCAACTCTTCGCAGCATTTGTAGGTCTGAGAAGCTTAAAGAGCAAGGAAAGACAAAAAGAAGGTAAGCTTTGGTTTTACTAAATCTTGCTACATTTCAGTATGCAAGGTAGTTCAAGAGTTTTAGCAAAATATTTTCTCAAATCTTTCTAGACCAAAAGGGTGGATATTGTTTTCCTAAATGTAAGTTGTATCTACATTTGGAAGTAATTTTGTCATCTTGTAGTCACTCTTCCTTTTTTCTCTTTTTAGGTTTTTGCATTATCTTGAAGGAATTCATCTTGAAATACCCAGACAAGCGATAAACAGCCTGTCTCTAGACTTCCCTTAGAATCACTAACACCAGAAATGCTTTGTGCCTAATGGTGGTATTTTCACCATAATTGCAGGGGTTTTTTTACCATGTTATTTTATTGTATATTCAGAGCCATTTGTATATTAAATTTCTATAATTATTTAAAATACTGTAAATATCTATTGTCATAAAATTGCTCTCCACATCTGAAATGTGGGTTTGTTTGGTGCTTGTCCAGTACGTGCATTTAGAATATTAAATGCACCAACTGATCAATTGGTACTACTTTGGTTTCAAACACGGAACTGTCTCCAGCTTCAACAGCTTGCTTTCTTTTTCTCCTCCTCTTTGAGGAGATGGTTGACTAAAATAGGCCTGATTCATTCCGAATTTGCATGTGTGTTAAATAACCCAGAGTGAGAAGGGAATAGGGAGGGAAAGCAATTGCTTTTCTGAAATGTTACTGAGGAGGGATTTGTTTTTAGTCGTTTACATGCAGATAACCAACTAAGTCATTACAAAGCACTGTGCTTCCATGTACATATATTTGTATACATTGGTTTCACTTCATTCATATTTACAGCTGCTCTGCATGTTAATCTCCTTAAAAGACTAGAGAAATGAATCCTGTAGTTCAAGATGAACTCAGACAGACATTAGGCGTGATTTTGTAAATAACAATTATTCAAGTATTACTTCAAGTTCAGTAATATTTAATTACTTCCACTTTTGTATATGGTGTTCTATTTTTATACTTCATTTTGTATTTGATGACTTCAGCCTCATTGTTTGTGATAGCATCTGTTTTTATACAACAATATATCTGATAAAAGTCTTACTGTTCATATCAGAAGCATCCAAAACTGTAGCAAAGTCTGAACATAATGTTTTCCATCTGTGAAAATGTATTTGAGGATGTTCTTAACTGGAACTACTTCATCCATGTTCTTTTCTGACTTTGTATTGCAGTTTCACTGTTTTTTTTCTTCTCAAACAGGGATTGTTAGAGCACCACTGTGCTGCGTTTACCTCCATGTTTCTGTAATAAGGCCATTTTCTGGTACCTTCTGTTGTCATTTCTCATGAATTAAAATAATTATGGAAACAGTAAATTATTTGAAATAACGGTGCTGTAGATAACCTTTACACTTTACTCTTTCAGTAGCAGAGAACTATCAATGAGTGAAATAAAGTGGTGGCTGTTAAAATTTTAATGGCTTGTGCTGCTGAATCAGTGGTTGCAGTCACTTCTGTATTTATTTTTTACAAAAAAAAAAAAGGATCACTTCTCTACCTAGGACAGTGATCCTTTATAGTTAGTGTGGACCTACAGCTATCAGAAAAAGGCTCTATAAACTATTGTTTACTTCTGGAAGTAGATGGGAAAGATAAATGAGGAGTGGGAGACAACTCCTCCTGAACTTAGCTGTCTGCTTCTAGTAATTGCCTTAAGAATTTTCGTTCAGGAATCTCCAAGCTGGTGCTGAGTGCAGAAGGTAAGGTGGAATTCAAGTATTTCTACTCCTTCATCCTCTGCTCTGTGACCTGTGTGCAATTACCCCATGAAAACAGCTGCAGCCCTTTTGAGTGAAGGATACTCTACGTGAGGTGGTTTATTTGAAGTACTTACTCTTACACTGCAGTAGTCAGGAACTGAAGTAGTGTCAATTCAGGACTAAGGACAAGTGTCAGTTCAGAGGCTGAAGCAAGGGCTCCTACCGCTGTTGTGCAGGAAAAAAACGCTGTACAGAAAGGATAGGGCTGGTGCTGAGGGGAAAATGAGCTGCGCCCCATCTGGGCTCCCTGAAAGCAGGAGCCTTAGCAATACTTCTTCAGACCGGAAAGAGGGAAGTTCGTTGCGGGCAGCTTTTGCGCTCGGTTCGGGGCTGTGCGATGATAGAAACTTCAGTCTCAGCGCGTTGTAAGCAGCGCGGCTGGAAGCGTTGCAGCAGGGCTGCTCGCAGCTCGCTGCGGTTCCCGACCGGTACTCGCAGTCCCGCCGGTTACCGACTCCCGGGGCGGCCCCTCCGCGTGAGGCGGCCCCCGAGGAGTTCCTCCTTTCGCCTGCCGGGGCCGAGCCTCCCGCCGGGCTCCACCCGCAGAGCTCCGCGCCGGGCGGCGGTGATGGACCGCGACCGCAACAAGACGCTGCTGCAGGAGCTGCTGAAGGTCGCCGGGAACGGCCGCTGCGCCGACTGCGGGGAGCCGGGTAAGGACGGCGCGCTCCTCCCGCAGCCGCCGCCCCTCGGCGCGGTGCGGACGGGGGCAGCGGGGGCTGCCGGGCCGTGCCCGCCGTCCGGGCGCCCGCCCATCCCGTCGCAGGTTCGAGGCGCGGCCGTTCTCCGTTTCGGCCGCTTCCTCTCTTTCATCGCCTTTCGCTTCGCGTACCGCAGGGGCGGGAGGACGGAGCGGGCGGTGTCCCGAGGAGGGCAGCCCCGCCGTACCGACGCCGGCGGAGGTCGCTCGGCTGGGCTTCGGGAGCGGCGGTGGGAAACGGGCAGGAAATGGCCTCCGGCCGCTTCTCCGGGGCCGCGTGGAGCTGCCGCCGAGCCGGCGGGGGGCTGCGGAGCTCGGGGGACCCGGTAGTCGGTCGGTAACCCGCAGCGGCTGCGAAGAAGCGCCAAGCGGCGTTTGTTCGGTGCGATAAGGGACAGGCGGCCGGAGGAAATGAAGTTGCTGGTGCGTTTGCAGCGCCGCTCAGCATCGGCTGGACGCGGCCGCGGCGGGCGGGAGCTTCCCCCCCTGCGGTCCCGGGCGCTGCGCTCCGTGTGATCTGAGTTGCGCTCGCTGTCCGAAATAGCCTTCCAAATTCAGCAACAAGACCTTTCCACGATGAACTAATAATTAGCTTAGCTTCCACATCACCGCTCGTCTGCCTGAACGGTCACATTAATTTTTAAACAAATGCTCTGTGAAAAAGAATTTCAGGGTTGCGTTCGTCAGTGGGAAAGGCAGGTGCTGTTCCTCTTAATGTGCGCAAATAGCAGCCGTAAAACAGTGGGGTGGGATTTGATGCATTAGGTGTGAAACCTGCGCTGTGCATCAGTGGCTGTGCCTTTTCCCAGTTATTTATACCAGTATTATAAAGTACATTCTTCTTGTTTGTGTCTAGATCCAGAGTGGGCTTCTTACAAACTTGGAATATTCATTTGTTTGATGTGCTCCGGAATCCATCGCAATCTTCCTCAAGTCAGCAGGGTCAAATCCCTTTGGCTTGACTTCTGGGAGAACGATCTTATAGAGGTACGGGAGGAAAAGGAATAATTCACTTACTTTCTCCGTATTTCAGCATAACCTGTGACTCAGAATTTGTGTCATCCACCGTGGGTAGAGGAACAAAGCTACACAGAGCAGAGTTAACTGCATGGGTAACTTCAGGGATTTTCTGTGACCTACTCCATCAAACTACACTGATAGGTGGTTGTATTTCTAACAGGCTGCAGTGCTCTGCGTATCAAAGCTTAGATGCCACTGATATGTCCAGATAGTATGTTCCCTTTAGTAATGAAAAAAACCTTAAATATTGCTTCAACCTGACATCTTTCTGTGGAAATGTGTTAATAACATAACCACAGCTTATTTCTAGGGATAGGTGAAGAAAGGGAGATCATAAATATATTTTTTTCCTTACTCTCATCTGTCATTTTAATTAACAACCACGACTTTGTGTTCCCTCCCGTCTGGTTCAGAACTGGAAGTACTGAAAAGGGCCAGCTATCAAAAAAGTGCAAACTATAGTTCCAAAGGAAATCTATAAACTGCAGAGATGCTGAAAGGTGGGGTGAGACTGAGAAAAATGTGCAGTGTTCCCTTTGATCCGAGTTTCATTTTGTGATATTGGTTTTGTATTTGCAGACTTAACTGGATCTTCTTTTGTATTTCAGTTTATGAAGAAGCACGGGAATCTCTGTGCCAAAGCTAAATATGAAGCAAAAGTCCCTCCCTATTATTACATCCCCCAGTCCTGTGATTGCTTGTAAGTTGATTGTTTATTCAGTGCAGCAGGCCTTTACAGCTATCAAACTACTGCTTCCCTCTGCAAGTCCTTTGGGGTGGTCGGTGAAATTAGGGTAGGGGCAGATCAGCTTTATCCATGTTTTCCTCTTTCAGGGTTTTAAGAGAACAATGGATTAGAGCTAAATATGAGCGTGAGGAATTTGTTGCCACCCGAGTCTGCCAAGATCCTTGTTCTGCAGGTAAAAGTTAGGATTGTCAGAGAAAAGGTATTCGTTTCAAGGCCAACAGCGCAGTACTTTGCCTGCACCTTTGAGGGTCTTTAGGGATGGCTTGCATCGAATGAGATGTTGGATATGCAGTTCTTCCTTTCAAGCCTGTAACTTTGAGAAGAAGCTCCCAACAAGTACAGAGTATATTCAGCTCATATATGCTCATAAGTTCTGTAGTTCTCCACTGGTTTGTTCTATTTGAGGTGAAAATTCTCAGATGGAAAAGAAACTTGAAACTCTGTGGCACATCAGATAAAAATGCTGCTGCTGTGCTGCCTTTGTCTGACACCTGTCTCCACCCAATATGCAGGTAGCCGTGAAGGATTCCTCTGGAAGCGTGGACGGGAAAGCAAGCAGTTCAAGCAGAGGCGGTTTCTCCTGTCAGCAAGGGAAGGGGTGATGAAGTACTACACTAAAGAAGTGAGTTCCCAGTGAGAGTCAGTTGTAGGTAGCTGGTCCACATCCAGCCTCAGGCACTGCTTCTTACCAGCTGGAAACAGCACAAATAGCTTTGTCTCTAGCAGCCTGTATTAGGAGCAACCCAGATGTTTCCACACTAACATCTGTGGTACCTTAGACAATTCCTCTTTTGGAATTAAGCCTTTTCCTCCTCCCTCATCTCCTCCCCGCAGCCTTCTTTTCCGTAGTGAACAAAGGAAATGGATAGTGAATAGCAAGATGAAGAGGAGATCTGTTAGCAGCTGCTACCTCTTACATTACCAAAATATTCTCTCATCAGCTGTTGCAGCACATCCTCAACATGTTCCCCTTCCATGGGAGAGTGTAGCTAATTGATTTCCAACTATGAAGTTGGAGAGAGAATGTTTGCAGTGCAGACACATCACTCCAGAGCCAAACATTTGTCAGGAAAAGGGAGTCATGCAGGTGATTTACTGTAACACAGAACTTGGGCTTTTATACTCCAGATATATCAAATTATCAGGCACTTTTTGATCAGTGAAGATTTAGTTCTCAGCTAATCTGTCCTCCATTGCCTTCCTTTTGACCATTTTAATACAGTGATGCTTTTCACTTTCACAGCCCAAAGGTCCAAAAGCCGTTATCAGCATTGAGAAACTGAATGTGATGTTCCAGGCAGAGAAAATCCATCATGCTCATGGGCTGCAAATCACATACAAGACAGATGGTCAAACAAGGAACCTTTTTGTCTATCATGAAAGCGGAAAGGTGAATGTCAGAGATTTTGGAATGAGCAGTATTCTCAGATGTTGGGTCTGTATTTTGGAAGAGCTATCTTGTTTTTGCAGGGTCTGATTCAAAGTCACTATGACTTGCATAATTTAGAATGTTGCAGAGTTTTACACTAGGAACTACAACATCTTGATCCTGTTCTGTTGGAATATTCAGCTTCACACACTAAATATTCTCAAAGATTCTTTGTGGCACATACGTAAGTGTCTAAGATAATTGTCTGATGGTTTTATATAATTCAGGGATTGTATTCTTTGAAGTCTATTGACACACATGAAGAATATAGTTGTTCTGCATTATTTCCAAACAAACAATGGTCTACAGGTTTTGTTAGATTTCTGTTTCTTCCCTTGATATAGTTCTGAAGTCTTTCCAGGTGTAAGGGTTTCTAAAGAATCCATAACTGAAGCAACTGAAAAAGCCTGTGTACACAGACTTGGATGATTCTCCATGCTGAGGATGTCCAGAATCTACTTGGAGAGGCACTTAAAACTTATTTTGGAAGCTGGGTATTTTTCAGATATCTGGGACAAGTCACTGAGTCTCTCTGGCCCTTGGAGAGAAATTCTATATGTGCAAAGAGATTTCAAGGAAGGAGAAAGGCCTTTTTGGAAAGGCATCATTCTTACCCCTTCATGTTATTTTTGTCTTTTTGTTTGTATTGCTCTTTTCCCTAGGAGATTGTTGACTGGTTCAATGCCATTCGGGCTGCACGTTACCATTATTTCAGAACAACCTTCCCAGCTCTCTCTGAGCACGAGGTGAGAACTTAACAAGGAACGAAGCAGTCTGTGCAAACACATTATGGGAAAGCATTTTCCTACTTGTGCCAGACCAGGTGCTCAAACAGCAGTATGCAGGCTTGGAAATGCCAGCTGCCATCATGCTTTCTCTGGAGAAAGAGAGGCAGGCCCCTGGTGTGCCTCAGCCTGCTTCTAATGCTGTGATTTGGAGGCAGCAGCTTTAAAATACATAAAGCTAGTATAGATGTCAGTGGAACTTTTGACAGACTCTATGTGATGGCACTGGGGAAAAATGAATCTGCAAAGCAGATGCAGTTGTGTACTAAAAAGATAGAGACCCTAGTTGAGAGACCATAACGCTTACTTACATAATATGTCAGGAGATGGTGCTTTTGTTTCCCCTCTTATTTGATACATTTGAAGCTTGTGTATCTGCACAGTGCTGACAATTACACTTCTTTTTTTTTTTTTCTCCTTCTGGTTGACATCAGATATGAAAGCTAAATCTTTGTTTGCTTTTCAAAACATATCTGTGTTTAGCTATACCAACTGAGTGTAATCACTCTAATCACTCGCACTCACTGTCTTTGTTGGTGCCAACAAAAATTCCTTCAGTTGTCTTAGAGGTGGAAATGAAGGTAAGTCTTTTAATGGCAAACACAAACAAAAACTCATTTGGGCATCTCTTACACTGACCATCTCCTTGCCAGGCAGGAATGTCAGGTTCTCAAGTAAACACAAAGATGCTCTGTCCTACTTTTCCCATTCTTTTCTTTGCAGTGAGCATCACTGAATTTGCTTCTTTTTCTGCTATATTCCTTCACATTCCTTAAAACAGTCACTTTTCTTATCGTAGATAGGTAAAATTAACATCTCTTTGAAAGTAACCAGACAACAGCCAGCCTATATACCGTGCCAAATTAGGAGTAAGCCTTGACATGGACAGAAGATGAAGAGAAAAAAAGGGTCACACTGTGGCTAACATGCAGAAAGGAAGTAAATGTTTCAGGCCAGAAAGACTCCCTGTTTCCTTTTATACTGAAATCTTTCAAAAATCCTATGTTCCTTCTTAATTCAGACTTCCCTTTGCTGAGCAGCCAAAAAAAAAACCAAAACCCAAGCCCTAAAAGCCAAAATTGTCAGTGATTTGCTCTGACAGAAGAAGAACAGAAAAATGAGCCTGAATGAGATGGCAGATATTTATGTGTGTGTGTGTTCTAGATCATACCCCGGATCACAAGAAACTATATCAAAGAAGGGTATATGGAGAAAACCGGACCAAAGGTAGGTTCAGATTACCTACTTGACAGTACAGAAGCAAGATTCTTCCAGAAGGAGATTATTTGATAATGCTATGGTGCTTACTCATAACAGATTTATTAAGGGAGCTGGGTCAGTAATGACATTGTATACAAGCCTGTTGTGTTATTTGGGATTGTGTTTTACTTTATACGGAGAAGAAAACTGTGAAGAAGGATCCTTCTTGAAGAATAAGCAAGCTGGATTAGTAGGCAGTGGAAATGCAAACTAAACGAGTTACTGTATCAGTTGCCTACTAATTACAGCTCTTGAACTGCAGCTACCTCTAGAACAGAAAATCGCATGCCAGCTCCCCTATTTCCCTATTTTTCTAAGTTAGTAGCACAGAAGTCGCATCTCTTTACTGCGGCAAGTTCTTCAGTGTTACACCTATGGATTGGGTTGTTCATTTATTTTTGTGGGAAAGTACGTGGGCTGCTACTTATTGAAATATTGAGAGAGAGATTTCAGGCTCGCTCTGCTAAAGGAGCACAGGAAGACCCAAGATCTTACTTGAATGCTGCTACTTCTTGCCTTGCTCCTCTGGATGAACTGTGAGTCAAAGTCCTATTGAAAAATTTAGTGATTAAATACTGAATATTGATGGTGGTTTTTTTTTTTGCCTACCTTGGTGCTAGCCTCCCAGTACATCTTCCTGCAGGTACTTGTACAGAGAATACTCACAGCTACAAGCATGTTTTGGCTTGCTTTTTTTCCTGAGGCCTAAACTCAGCTCAAACTGGAGTGAGCCCTGGAAGAGGACTCTTCAGCACAGAGCAATGAATATCTCAGGGAATGGTTCCATGAGTGCAGTTGATGGAATTAGCACTTTTAAAAAATAAATGCCCACGCTGCAATGACAGGGACAGCACCCCAAACCAAAATCCTGAATTGTTTGCACGCTCTCCTCGTGATAGCCACTGGCTCACGGATCATTTTCTGCAGTGATTTTGATTAATCCATGTACTGTAGGTTTTCTTAACCTGATTAGATTGTTAGTAAAATGAATTTCTGTGCTTTATCCAAAGGATTGCCACTAAATGCAAATCTCCAGTTGCACACAGCAGTGACTCACTAGTTGCCAGTTAAGAGGATGGGTTAAACTGAATTCAAGCTGAGAGTAATTTAAGCAATCTGCTCTGAATGGGAAAAATTTGTCTTTGGGACTTGGTCTTTAAAGAACTTCTACCATCTACTTGCAGCAGAAGGAGACCTTTAAGATGCGCTGGTTCAGCCTAGACTCTGAAGAGAGGAACCTGCTGTACTTTAAAAACCCACTGGTAAACAGGGTGTTCTTCACTGTTCCACAAGTTCCTTCGTGGAGACGGGTGGGGAGAAAGGGTCTGTTGTAATCCAGCTCTCCCAGTAGTTGCCTAAAACAAACAAGGTAATCTCTAGATCTGATCTCCTTTGCTGGGGGTATCTTTGAAGCTGAGCTGTTTGGGAACTCTGGCCCTCAGAGTGTCTGTAAGGGAGATCTAAGTCTTTTTAAAAAGTAGCTGCTACTGCTGTTAAGGCTTGTAGCCTGTTTTTTTCCCAGCCAAGTTGTAGTCACACATGGAACCTTAGGCAAGATGTGTGATATTCCAGAGGACAATATCCTGTTTCCTACAATTGCTCTTACAAGAATATCCTACTATGCTCCTTCTGAACACTCAATCAGCTCTGCAAGCATAGGCTCTTATTGCTTCTGAGAATGCTCAAGAGTGTGAAAAGGCTCCAGTATGTTTTCTGCCTGCCACCAGTTCAGTGACCCTTCCACTCATCTCCAGCTCCTCCTGCTCCATGTCAAGGGATAGAATAATGTCTGCTAGAGCTGCATTGTCCTCTGGCTAATGAATGTCTTCTGTTTCCTTCCTTCTAGGATGCATTTCCACAAGGCCAAGTTTTTATTGGAAGGAGAGTCGAGGGCTATGAAGTACGAGCTGGCTTGCCCCAGGGAATATCTGTAAAGAAGAGGAAATCAGGGATCACCATGGTCACGCCAATGAGAGAGTTTTTGTTTCTGTGTGAGAACGATAGGGAGCAGAGGGAGTGGATAGATGCCTTGAATGGAGTAATTGCCCAGCCCTTGTCTGGTTGAGACTAACACTGAGTTCCAGTGAACTGCACTTCTTGGGCTCTGTTTGGCACTGGTCTGCATCCTCTTTTTGTCAGCAGGGATAGTGCTCAAGCCCATTCAGTGACTGTGCTACAAAGGGCTTCTTCCTTCAACAGCTACAGGCACAGGAAGGCTGGCAAAATAAAGGAGTGAGGGGAATGCAGGTATTCAGAAATTATCTGTGTCCCTTCTTTTGAAGTGCATTCACTCTTCCTTACATTCTCTGCTTTTGAGCAGATGAAGCCTTCCCAGGCTGATGAAGGGATAAAGTAGCTATTGATATACAGAAAAAGAAACAAAGTCAGTGTAGAAAGTTTGTCCACAGAGGACTGGCATGAATTTCCTTGAGGATTCCTGAAGAATGTACTTGACAATGCAGCCATGACGTATATTCACAGTAAATGTGACCAGCGTGCACAGAACAAGTGACCAAGAGGCAAAGACATCACCACCTGCCAGGACAATGCAGCATGTCCTGCTGGATAGATGAAAGATAAAAATACATGCTGGAATGACTGGATGTCTTTCTTGGGGGGGGGGGGAAACAGAGGCAGGCAACTACTATACCTGCTTGCATTTTCTGTCCAGCTAGGGACATGTTGTGTCCATGTAATGGTTTTTATGTCATTTACAGTGTTACGTTTTCATTACTGAAACTGTAAAAAAAAATCACAAAAATCGTAGGGGGTAGAAGGGACTTCTGGAGATCACATGCTCCAACCCCTGATAAAGTTTGTTTGTATCATCTATCCCACGCTTCCTAAGCTTATCTTGTAAGGATGTTCTAGCAGACAGTGTCAAAAGCCTTGCTGAAGTCAAGGCAGGCAACATTCACTGCTTTCCCCTCCTCTACCCAACCAGTAATGACATCACAGAAGGCTACCAGATCAGTCAAGTATGATTTTCTTTTGCTGCACCCGTGTTGACTACTCCAGTAACCTTTTCTTTCTTCCACTTGCGTGGGCTTGGACATGACATCCAGAATTAGTTGGATGGAGGTGAGGCTGACTGGCCTCTAGACTCTTATTTGAGGATCTGAGAACCAAGTCCTCAAGATTAAAAGTCAAGAATTGTGAAGAATGTTGTTGTGGATGCATTCTAATGACATACTCTTAGATCTTTGCTTTCAACAGTTGCTGCTATTTGATTATTTTGGGAGTGGCAAATGCAATATGTAGAAAACTTTTTTTTCCTCCAAAGCAGCCCCACCTACTACTCCAGTCAAGACATGAGTTCAGGATGAAGATACACTGGTCTGTGTCAGCTTCTAAAAACAGGGGAATGGGTGAGGATTTATATTCATTCATGCAGTGCACTGAGTATTTTCGTGCCTTGCAGCCAAGGCTGAGATTTGGTTCTACTGAACAGTTATTCAGATATTTAATTAGTTTTTTTCAGATTCCCTTAGTTGGAAAATCAAGAGGAAGTCTTGCAAACTTAAGTTTCTGATCAAGCTTCCACCTTTTGCTGACGCTTGCCAGCCAGTATGAGTTACCCCAAATAGTTCTCTTCTACAGGAATGAGGAAGTACCAATATGTGCATGGATTACTAAGATTAACTCTTTCTACAGCAGTACAGGAAAAAAAAAAGAAAAAAGAATTAGATCATCATTCTGCCTGTCTCTTGTCATACAACCTTGAGCAATCTGTGTCAGTAGTTTTGTTTCCTGATACATTTCCATTAACTTAATCTCCCAGCTCATGTGCTGGTTCAGATCTAACAGCCTATGCCTGTATCCTCTGAAATCAATAGCAAAGCACTTTTGAGATGAGCTGAATAATTCAGGATGATCTCACAAGAGCGCAGTCCATCCAGTAACCTCAGCTTCATGGATGGTGCTGCTTCTGTGATGGTGCTTGCTCTCCCACTGGGTCAGCAACACTGATGTGACTTTTGTTACAAAATCAGGAAGTTCCTTGACAAAATGAAACCCTGGAGCAACACAACAGCATCTTTTTTGTAGACTCAATAAAAGTCAAGGCCAGGTCACAGGGAGCTAGCTCCACGTGACAGTTCATTTCTACAGTTAAGCCAAACTTGGACCAGTATTAAGCTCTCTGACAGACCTGGGGCCCCATGGGAGCTCCTCGCCTCTGCCCTGGAGAGCACAGTGCTGCAGGCTGGCTTGCAGGGCACAGCACCTCAGGACTGTACAACAGCTCCACCCAGGCTGCGGCTCCCTGCACCCCACACATGGCAGCAGCACAGGGCCTGTGGGAAATGAAACCGCACTATGGCTGCTACTGTCGACTTCATGCGGCTGCAGGCAGATGTGGAACTAAGCAGCAGCTGCTGCCTGAGCTGTTTCATGGGCCCCATGTGGATCATGGGATGTGCCCACAGCTTCTGCCAGTCCTTCATTACCAAGTACAGCCAACCGGGAGCTAGCCACTCTGGTGAACTTAATTCCCAGAGAGGTGGAGGAAGAAGACTTAGAGGCCTAGAATGAACCCACATCCTCTGGAGATGGTGTCCATGGCAGCTAGAGCTCTGTGGGGCAGGGCCCTGGGGAGAAGGTATGGGCAGAAGCAGACAGTGCTTCTCCCCACTGCACCTCAGCTACTATTCTAAATGCTCTTCAGTGGGGCCATGGGACCAGGGCCATGGCTGGGACTGAGTTAACTTCACTTTCCATCCTGCCCTTTTTTTTCTTTTTTTTTTTTTTCTTTCTTTCTTTCTTTTTTTTTTTTTTCCCTGGATACTTTGTATTTCATATGTTAATATTAGCATTGTTGTAATAGTGTTGTGTCTTGTTCATTTGGGCAGATAGGTTTAATGTGTGGAGTTCACTGGTGGTGTCTGCAAGTTGAGGATTACATTTTTTGAAAGAACTAATAGCAGAATGTGCTCAGCTGGTCTAAGATATAATAACTAGTTGATTTTAGTGCTGGACAGGTGGGCCATCTGAACTCTAGGAAGTGACTAAATCAGCAAGCTCTCAGGTCAGTTTAGAACGGGGAAGGGTGTGAATACTCAGAGAAGAGATGGGGCTGCCATGAGAGGATACTTAGAGGGCTCTAAACCTAAAACATCTGTAAATCTTTCCTTACTTGTTTCCTTCCTTCTCATCTCTCTGCTGTTCTCTTTCCATTGCTGTTCCTTTGCTCTTCTCATTTTATTCTTCCAGTTAAAATCTGTAATGAGCAAATGATGTAATCTCAATGCATTTCATCCTTTGCAGGAGTCTCATCACATAGCCTTGAGCACTGAGCATCCTGGAGGGCAGTTGTTTGGTATTTCAGTCACCATCAGCTCTTTCCGTCTTCTTTTCACCAATCATTTCTGTGTTGTTATTTACTGTGTGAACGTTGCACAGGAGATTCCTGAAATGAAACATAACACCATTGTACAGTGCTACAGCTCCACCCAGCTGAATGACACAAAATGGGACTGGTTCACTGTCTCTTTTTACCATAACTCTCAGACCTTGTTGGAAATGAGCAAAACCTGACTACTGACTTTCATTAACACTCTGCACACATGTATCTAAAAAGTCTTAAGTCTCTGCAGTCATGCAAAGAGCTCAAACTCATAAATATATTTGAATATATAACTTAGGACTGTTGAATGCTATCTTTACTGTGATTATTCACCCATTTGGTTGTGTTTACCAGCCCAGTGTTTAACTGTCAATAATGTAAGGGTTTTTATTATCCTTCTGTTTAACCTAGTCATGTTTTCTCTGAGGATTAGACAGATAAGTGATTAAATGTGTCACTTTAAAGAAGGAACAGATACAAAACATCTCCAAGCAACTGGAAACAACTGAAGAGGACATCAACATCTCGAGAAAGGATCTCAGTGAAACAAAGGTACCTCTTGTACTTCATTATCTGCAATTAGTTTGTTCCCCTGTGATTCTACAGCCACCTGGAATCCCCTGACTGCCCAAAATCTCACTGCAGGCAATGCAGGACAGTATCAAATGCATTTTATTCCTTTGAATACATCTGGGTGTCAAATGGTCAGTCAAAGAGCATGTGAGATGGGACAGTAAACTCTTGTACTTCACTTGTCTTCTTTTCTAACAAAAAAACAGATCTCTGTGTTTTGTGCCTTTCAGGAATGTACTTCTCAGATCAAAAGCCATATTACTGAAGATTTCAGTTGTATGAAAGATGAGAGAAATACACTGGTCTTCATTGAACAGCAGGCCAAAGCAGCTCAACAGAAGACTGAGGAGAGTGTACGGGAAGTGAACAACCTCACAGATATCAAAGCCCAAATGGAGAGAGGACTGGGAAGTGATGAAGTGGCAGAATGCGAGTAGAAACACGGCACCTCTGATTTCCCAACAGTAACTCGTGCTGGAGGGCGCAGGAGCAGCGTTTTACTACATTTTGTTCAGGAATTACTACACAATTTGGCTCCAGGGAAGCCCAGCACGCGGCTTCTCCTCAGCGCGGGCGCGCGCAGCACCGCCGGCGCGAATCGCCTCAGGGTGGCGCGCAGCGGTCGGGCGCGGGAGGCGCTCGCGCAGGCGCGCTGCCGCCCCTCAGCGGCTCTCCCTGCCCGGCCGCCGTAGGCCGCCCGCTGCGCGGTGGGGGGGGTGCGGTGCGGAGGGGGTCGCGGCGTGAGGGGCGCGCAGGCCGCGGCGGCTCCGCTACCCCCGGCGAGCCCGATGTGAGCGCCCCGCGGCGGGGCCAGGCAGCGGGGCCATGAAGAAGGACGTGAGGATCCTGCTGGTGGGAGAACGTGAGTGCGGGAGGGGCCGGGCCGGGAGCAGGGCGGGGTGAGGCCGAGCGGCCGTCAGAGATCGGCGCGGTGCTTTAGCGCCCTGCGGGTCGCCCCGCCTCGGAGCGCCGGGCCCGGCCATGCGCGCTCGGAGCGCCGCGGCCTCACCTCGCCCCGGGCCGGAGCGCGGGAGGACTCTGCTCTACGGGGCGCCGGGGGCGCAGAAGTTTGCTTGGAGTTGGCGCCTCCTCGGGCGGCCGCGGAGAGGGAACGGGGCTGAGGCGTTCGCCCCGCGCGTGGCCGCGTCCCGCCCGAGCGCCGGGCTTCGCTCCCTCCATCGAGGAGTCTGGGAGCCGGCAGCGCCGCTGGGGCAGATGCGCTGCGGGCAGCGGGACGGGCGCTGCGGGCCGGGGCTGGCAGAGGAGCCCGGCGTCTGCCGCCGCCTGGGGTGACCTTGGGTGCGCGCCGCAGTCACGGCTGGGCTCCGCTGCTCGGCGAGCCCCTGAAACTCCGGCCCTGCGCTCGCATGTAGGCGTCCAAATAAACGGCCGGGCTGCCGGAAGTGCAGCTCCGCGCTGAGGGAAGCGGTACCGCCGCGGCTGCCTCCTGTCAGCTTGTAGAGCGCTCTGAAGTTCCTCGCAAGAAAAGAGAACCACGTAATTACCAAGTGCCATTAATAAAATTGCCTAATTACACTGAGGATACGGTGTGACTAGCAAAGCCTTCCTTACAACGTGGTGTACATACGTAGCACAGCTCCTGCAGTGCCCGGTGTGTGGGCTGGGCTGACTGCCTACACTGCCCAGGGTGCGTCCAGCACGTCTTCGGGATGGAGTCCTTGTGGAGATAACTGTAGAAGTTAGCTCGTGAAGTTTGTCTGCTTTTACAAAGCTTGGTTTATTCCAGAGCGTTCAGAACACACGGCTGAATTCCTCCTCAGGATGCACACGTGAAATCTACCTTTACTTTCTTTGGCAATGAGCTGAGGGTGCAAATTTTAGATTTATATTGGATGAACTGCAAGCTGACCCTCAGAGCGTGCTGTTTAAAGTCAGGCTGAGCCTTTGCTTGACTTAAAATTAGTTGAGTTCTGTTTGTAGCAGATGTGTATCGGTTTTGTGTGTAGAAAGATAATTTAGTGAAAAATAGGGAGAAAAATGTGCAAAATCATTTGAATTAAGAATCTGTGGAATGTGTCAATTTTTCTACTAATATTGCTAGTAATGTTACTGGTGCTGTTTTGTATGCATGTCTTTTATGTGTACTTATTTGCCTGAAACAAGTCAATCCAGGCCATGCTGTACCTACCAGATGATGGTTGCAGTCTGGCAGATTCAGTCTCTGAAATATCATGGCAAGACCTTCTATTGTAAGCCTTATTCCAAAACAGTTTTTTCACTCCTACTGGTGGTCTTTTCAGATTTAAGGTTGTTTTGCTCCTAGTGCCCTAGTGTGAGCATCAATTTTTAATAGCCCGTGATTTTCAGAATGTATCCAACGTTTTATTTCTGTACAGCATGCATTAAAAGCCTTCCATATGTGAGGGAAAAGAAGACCAGTTAATCATTACAAAGCGCTGTTTTCCTCAGCCGATGTTGTTTAGGCTGATACTTCTAAGACATAAACAGAATGGGAAAGATGGGTGGCTGACCCAGATTCGAGCAAAATAAACCAAATCTCTACTCTTGAACCTGTGGATCTTCACAGAAACAACGCTAGAATGCTTCACATCTATCAGAAGTTTGTACTCAGTGTGTCTTTCCTAACACGTGGTCCATAGCATTCTATTTTCAGTCGCATTAAATTACGAAAATGAATCTGATTTTTGCAAAGCTGAGATGCTTTACTCCATTGCAAATAGCAGCTGGCTTGGTTGGATGCAGAACATGCTCCAGTATGTTCTGTTATTATCTCATAACTTCATTTGCTTATCAGGAATGTATTTATCTGAGGAAACGTGGGAGCTTTTAAAGCCCTTCTGATTCTATCAGGATGAAGCTTAAGGTGTGGCTTGTGCAGGAGGACACCTGGTAGTGTAAGTTCTTGTTTTAGCTTGTATGGGTATCTGTGATGAAAACACAGCCATCGTACT